GCTGCACTGAGGATGTGCCGGTGCTGGGGCTGCAAAGGGACCGTGACCTGGCCGCCCTGCCCCGCCTGGTGCGGGGACAGCGAACGCCCAGGGAGCAGGGCGCTGGCGGCCGTGGCGGAGAGGGGGCAGGCTTCCCAGGGAGGAGGCCCTTTCTGGAGGGGCCTAGTCAGCATTTTACATAGAGAACTTCTACAAAGATTAACAGAAAAGTATAGTGTGCTTGCTAGGTATCAAGGCTGGGGTTCAGGCTGAAGAGCGAGCTTAGTCTCCTGGACTTGGGGTCTCCGGCCAGCCTGTTGGCCCCAAGGCCACGGCCCCATCCCAGCTCCAGGGCTGTGCCGGCTCCCTGCCCCTCCCCGCAGCAGCACTGGCAGAACCAGATACACAAGCCCACTTGGCCTCAGGGGTCCCAGGAAGCTTCCCTCCCGACAAGGGACTGAGACCAGAAGACAAAGGGCAAGCGAGAGTCTTCCCTCCTTCCTACGTCAGCGTCTCACAGGGTGGCAGATGCGTCTCAGGTGAGACGTTCTCTTAGTCGGACGGAAACGTAAGTGACCTGCAAGGATGTATGTATTTGTATGTATCGTATGTCCACGTGCATATGTACGTGTCCATGTGTATACGTACGTGTCCATGTGTATATGTACGTGTCCATGTGTATATGTACGTGTCCATGTGTATATGTACGTACACAGGTACATGCATGTGTCCGTGTCCATGTATGTTTATACGAATGTGCATGTCTATATGTGCACGTGTGCGTGTACATGAATGTGCACGTGTACTTACATGCGGACACGTGTTGTACATGTGAGCTTTGGGCTGTCCCATCTTGGGGTGAGTGGGGTATTTTAGAAATATTTCTGTTTTATGCCAAGGGTTTGGATTCGTGTGTGAGAAACTTCTTAAACAGAGATTCCCAAAGGCCTGCCGGGGACTCCTGGGGGTGTATAACCAGTGCCCTACTGATGGATCAGAGGACAAACGCATGCTTCTGTTGACTCAGTAAGTCATTTTTCTGCAAACAACTGAGCTTGCCTCTTGGAACACACCCCAGGTGTGTCACTCAGTTAAAACATCAGCATGACTGTCACCAATGCTGTTAGTGACTAGTGACGCGGTGGGAAGGTCCCTCACGGGGACGTGCTGTCAGGCCAGGGGTCTCGCCGCCCTCCCAGGGCCTGGCACCCGCGCAGAGCCTGTTCCGGCCCCGCTACGTCTTCACGGAGAACAGTGGGGAAGCAGAAGGTGACGACGGCATGAATGCTGACGCCAGCAACGAAGGAGAGCAGCTGCCATGGGCCCTCGGCAGGCCTGGGGCCGTGACGGGCTTCCCGGACGTCACCGCGTTCAACCCTCGCACCCACTCTCCGGGCAGGTCCTGTTCCAGCTCACAGACGAGGAGCTGGCCCTGCATGGTGCAAACGGCGAACGAGCTCGGCTGCTCACTGAAAGGCTGGAGGTTCGAGTCCACCCAGAGGAGCCTTTGAAGAAACGCCTGGTAATCTACTTCCAAAAACTCAGCCACTGAAAACCCTACGGCACACAGTTCCACTCTGACACATGTGGGGTCACCATGGGCCAGAACAGGCTCGACAGCACTTGGGTTGGTTTGGCTTTGGTTTTAGTTAAGGAAATGCAATTTGAACTACATTAAATAGACATCAGGGTGTCTGTACGCAGCCTGGCAGAGCCAGCTGAAACAGGAAAGCAGAAGGTGTCCGTCAAGAACATCCGGCAGCTTTACTCTGGCCTGGAGCTGCCCGCACGCTCGCTGAGTTAAGGCCTCGTGGTTTGACCAGCTTGAGGGGCCAGATCACTGACGACCTGACCTGACTCTGGACTCTGACAGAAGCCGCAAGGACCGAGGAGAAACTTGTTCTGAAAGTGGCATATCAGCAACTAACCGATGTCACGAAAGTGAGGCTCTAGGTATGAATCACAGTCCTAACGGTACTTTCGGACATGCGTTCCTGGGTATGTATCTGTCACCTTGGCCATCAGTTTATAAGTAAATCATTTTACTTTAATCAAGTAC